GACTCTCAGACCATGAGAAACAAGATTCTCTGGTCTGATGAAACCAAGATTGAACTCTTTGGCCTGAATGCCAAGCGTCACATCTGGAGGAAACCTGGCACCATCCCTATGGTGAAGCATGGTGGTGGCAGCATCATGCTGTGGGGGTGTTTTTCAGCCGCAGGGACTGGGAGACTAGTCAGGATCGAGGGAAAGATGAACGGAGCAAAGTACAGAGAGATCCTTGATGAAAACCTGCTCCCGAGCGCTCAGGACCTCAGACTCAAGGCTCTAATTGCTGCCAAAGGTGCTTCAACAAAGTACTGAGTAAAGGGTCTGAAAACATGTTTTTAAATGTGATATTTCTGTGTTTTTTATTTGTTAGAAATTTGCAAAAATGTCTAAAAACCTGTTTTTGCTTTATCACTATGGGGTACTGTGTGTAGATTGATGAGGGGGGAAAAACTATTTAATCCATTTTAGAATAAGGCTGTAACGTAAAACAAAATGTGGAAAAAGTCAAGGGTTCTGAATACTTTCCGAATGCACTGTAACTGTGTGATAGTGTGGGTTTTCAGTGAATTTATGCAAATCACGAAGCTCATCTGGATTTCCTGCGGTACAAGAAAATTCTCAGCAACAAAAGTGTTATCAAATTAAAATCCTACATCTGTATGTCATCAATGTGAGATGGCTTCCTGTACAGTGCCTTCAGAAAGTATTCATACCCCTTGACTTATTCCACATTTTGTTGCATTACAGCCAACAGCCAATAGTTCAACATGGATTACATACATGTTTTGTCTCACCCATCTACACACAATACCCCATAATGACAAAGTGAAAACATTTTTTTATAGATTTGTGCAAATTTATTGAAAATGAAATACAGAAATATATCATTTATATAAGTATTCACACTCCTGAGTCAATACATGTTAGAATCACCTTTTGCAGCGATCACAGCTGTGAGTCTTTCTGGGTAAGTCTCTAAGAGCTTTGCACACATGGGTTGTACAATATTGGTACATTTATTTAGAAAATTCTTCAAGCTCTGTCAAGATGTTTGTTGATCATTGCTAGACAGAAATGTTCAAGTCTTGCCATTGACTTTCAAGCTGATTGAAGTCAAAACTGTAACTAGGCCACTCAGGAACATTCAATGTCATCTTGGTAAGCAACCCCAGTGTATATTTGGCCTTGTGTTTTAGGTTATTGTCCTGCTGAAAGGTACATTTGTCTCCCAGTGTCTGTTGGAAAGCAGACTGAACCAGGTTTTCCTCTAGGATTTTGCCTGTGCTTAGCTCTATTCCGTTTATTTTTATCCTAACAAACTCCCTAGTCATTGCCGATGACAAGCATATGCATAACATGATGCAGCCACCACCATGCTTCAAAAATATGAAGAGTGGTACTCAGTGATGTGATGTGTTGGATTTGCCCCAAACATAAAGCTTTGTATTCAGGACATAACGTTTATTTCTTTGCCAAATGTTTTGCAGTTTGACTTTAGTTCCTTGTTGCAAACAGCAGGTATGTGTTGGATAAATTTTTTATTTTTTATAGGCTTCCTTCTTTCCACTGTCATTTAGGTTATTATTGTGGAGTAACTATAATGTTGTTAATCCATCCTCAGTTTTCTCCTATCACAGCCATTAAACTCTGTAACTGTTTTAAAGTCATCATTGTCCTCATGGTGAAATCCCTGAGCGGTTTCCTTCCTCTCCGGCAACTGAGTTAAGAAAGAAGCCTGTATCTTTGTAGCGACTGGGTTTATTCATACATCATCCAAAATGTAATTAAAATCCTTAAGAGTCTATTGACGCACACATGCATCAATCTAATGAACATAATACAAAAATCCCCATCAAAATTTGTCAGTTTAAACTAGAGATGTTTTTTTGCATGGGCTGCATCTCAATCCACCACATCCGTCGATGTCGCCCTTCCGCATCTGCAGTGAAAAGTGGCAGAGCTACAGCGCTGTTTATCAGACCAGGAAACATCCCGAAAATCGGTCTTCTCACGAAAAGGTCTGTAGCGTCCGAACGGTTTAGCCTAAAAACAAATATGGCCTCCATTTTGCTCTACGACCCCCACAAGTGTCACGGGACTCATCTGAAGGTAACCAATACAAAAATAAGGCTTCACATATGTGTCCAAAACATTTATATTTCCTAAGCTTCAAAACCTTATTCCTTCTGATACAATTTTTTACTGTCTTTTTTGCCATTTATGAATGTGTTATTCGATGCGTTTCTATGGGCTATAGTAGTAAAGGCCAAATTCAATATTTTATCCCAAATAATTCACACAAAATAATTATACCTAAACAGGTCCTAAAATTCTAAATCAAATAGCTAAATGATCCATAGTATGACCATCTAAAAACAATTCCATTTGTTAACTTGGTAGAATCCCTTCACCATGCTCAATGGGATATTCAATGTCTGTTAAGCACATTTTTACTCCTGAACTTATTTAGGCTTGCCATAACAAAGGGGTTGAATACTTATTGACTCAAGACATTTCAGCTTTTCATTTTTTATTAATTTGTAAAAATGTCGAAAAACATAATTCCGATTTGACATTATGGGGTATTGTGTGTAGGCCAGTGACACAAAATCTACATTTAATCCATTTGAAATTCAGGCTGTAACACAACAAAATGTGGAAAAAGTCAAGTGGTGTGAATATTTTCTGAAGGCACATATGCCAGCTTCCTTTCCTTATCATCACTGCAGATGAGTGGTGTGCCATAGTCCTAAACCCTTCACTAAAACTGTGCCCTTGGCATTCCCTCATTTTCTCCACACTCCCAAAGTCCCCTAATCCCTCGGTGGAGGGGATTTGCATGTCCCCTTGTCAGGATAAACTTCAGTCGACCCCCTCCGGAGTGAACAAGGGCTCTTTTGGTGACAGATTGGGACAGGGCCCGTGGGATTACTGTAACTGTATCTGTGATAGGTGTGGGACAGACAGACATACACAATGGTCAGACCACACTGTGGAGAGAGAAGAGGACAACATGTAGACGAAATGTAGAGTTTCAATACTAAACACTGACTAAACGACTAAACAGTAGCAGTCATAAAATTCACAGGTTTTCCAGAAATCTCAGATGGAGGATTCCCAATTGGATGATTACTTTTCCTGCGTATTCCCTCTTGATTGTGAGAATCCCGAACTGGGATTTCTGGAAAACCTGATAATTTTGGGAAAGTTTCCAGAATGATATACAGTGGATGATGATCCCTTCTCATGGGAAATTAGTTTACTTAAGTGGACGACTTAAAATGAAGTGGACTTAAGTCAAAATCATAGGCCCACTATAGCTCCCTCAAGGTAGAGGTGCTATAGGACGTTATAGGACGCTACGTAACGGGCACTATCATTTCGACAGTGCTCTTGTCTAATGTACCTTAGTGTTCTCCATCTTGTGTATGCCTCTGCTCTGGTCCTGTGTAGGAGGGCTGAAAAATACAGGCTGGGTTTGGTCCCTCCTCTCCGTCTTACTCCATTCTTAATCATAAACCTTAGAGGAACTTAAGATATCTATAGGAACCATTAAAGACTACAAGAGCTTAAACTTAAATTCAGCGATATGACGTGACCACGAGCAGCAGTATGAACCAAAGATAATGCAGAGGAGATCAACCTTTTGCTTTCAGCTGTCTTTGTGTGTTTCGTGGAAGTCGCCATAACTGCTATTGTAATGCTAACTTCATATCGCTGAGTCTACCTTTAAAATAACTCTAGGGATCATAAAGCAGATCTGGAACCTATTTGACGTATGTGAAATACATACCTCAAGTCCTTTCAAATACTGAGCTGTGCTTGATTTAATTTTCTCTGTATCGCGGAGCAAATATAGTCCCAAAAGTGCAAACTCCAAACTAGACCAAGCACACCTCAAATACGTTTAAGTATTTGACAGGATATTATCTAGACAATTTGACACAGGTCTGTCATGAAATTGCTATAAACAGAACTACACAAATCCTAAAGATCTTCATCATGACTACAGAACAGCAGGCAGATGCTCTGTGAGTGGGCAGAAAGGTGTGTCACAGACAGGAAGCTAGACCCGGAAGCAATGACACCCAGCACTGACTGGTTACTGAATATTTTTTGGTGGTTCATGATTGGACGAGAGGTAGGTAATAGTAAGTAATGGATGATATACCCTTTGACCTCTCGTGCTTGTTGAACGCAGAAATACAGTGTATGAAACACACACCAGACACATCAGAGACAATGTGACAGCAGTCCAATTTCCTTCTAAAGCAGACAATAAAAGTGCTGAGACAGACAGATCACAATGCACGCACAAACACGCACGTACACACACATGTACACACACACACACACAGCAGACAGTGGCTAAATTAGAAACTATAAGCCGAGACGAGACATTCTTATTACAAACTAGAGGCCAATGAAATTTAGCTATTTTCACTTATGCGACATAAAGTGACAATTTTGGTGTGAATACTGACACAAAAAAACTAGGGTGAAAATTGCAATTGTACAGAGTGAAGTAACTATGGTTGTTCTGCAACAGAGAGTGAAGAGACTCATAGTTAGCCAGTGAATGAAACATGTATACTGTATAAGCCATAGCATCCCGAGGCAGCTGTTATCAATGGCAACCGGCCTTTAACACTCAACACATTAAGGAAAGGGACATTGTGGGGAAGTTTGGATGTAATGTAGTGCTATGTGTGTAATTTATGTGTGTCTCTCACCTAAGAGATGTTTGGGTATAGTCTAGTACTATGTGTGTAATGTAGTACTATGTGGGTTATGTAGTACTATGTGTGCAATGTAGTGGTATGTGTGTAATGTAGTAGTATTAGTAGTGACATATTTATCTCTCAGCTGGGCAATGTTTAGGTATAATGTTTCAGAATATGTTGCTGTAGTAGTATGTGTGTACTGTAGTATTATGTATGTACTGTAGTAGTATGCATGTACTGTAGCAGTCTTAGTCTTAGTAGTGATGCATCTATCTCTCACCTGGGGGAGATGTCACAGCCCTGCTGCATGAAGGCACCCAGGGAGAACCAGAGGGAGTTGAAGATGCCAAACTCGTTGGGGGGCTGGTCGCTGGGCGGACCGTCGGTGCCCTCCTCGGGCTCCTCGGTGTGCCACTCGTACGGGCTGAAACGGCTGACCAGGAAGAGCACCACGCTTACGCCAATGTAGGCGAACACAATGCACATCCAGATCTCGTAGGCCAGCGGGTCCAGGAAGGAGAACACCCCAGGTTTGGACTTCTGGGGCTTCTTGATCATGATGGAGATGCCCAGCGACATGAAGGGCTTGGAGAAGTCGATCACCTCCTCCCGGACCAGTGTGATTGTCAATGGGGCCACAGCGATTTCCGCTTTCTTCATGTGGGCCGGGGGGAGAGAAGGAGAGAAGGAAGGGGAAAGGGGGGAAGTGGTTAGCCTTTTGACTGGAGAGTAATCTAAGCACCTAATAAAACTGTAGACAAACAACAGTCAACAGAAGAATAGACAACAGTAGACAAAACAGTAGACAACAGTAGACAAAACGGTGGACAAAAAGGTAGACTACAGTAGACAGTATCTGTTTTTTGTTCTCCTTCCACCTTATTCAGCACTGTCAACTTCACGCACTACAGTGAGTGAGTGTGAGCCTGAGGCGAGCCCCTATCCAAATATATTGTACTAAAGATTAATTGTTCCCAAAAGGACATACTATACATATAAGATCAGCTACAGTATGTCAGAGCCAGAAAAGCCAGGGGCTGTATGTATCAAGTATCTCAGAGCCGGACTGCTGATCTAGGATCAGGTCCCTCCTGTCAATGTAATATTATCTAAAAGGCAAAACTGATCCTAAATCATCATTCCTATACTGAGACGCTTGATGGATACTGCCCGAGAACTCTGTCTTCCTAGTCGACCATTCACACATCTACAGTGCATTCGGAAAGTATTCAGACCCCTTCCCTTTTTCCACATTTTGTTACGTTACAGCCTTATTCTAAAATGGATTAAGTAAAATGTAATTCTCATCAATCTACACACAATACCCCATAATCACAAAGTGAAAACAGGTTTTTAGAAATGTTTGCAAATGTATAAAAAAAAAAAAAACAGAAATACCTTAATTACATAAGTATTCAGACCCTTTGCTATGAGACTCAAAATTGAGCTCAGGTGCATCCTGTTTCCATTGATCATCCTTGAGATGTTTCTACAACTTGATTGGAGTCCACCTGTGGTAAATTCAATTGATTGGACATGATTTATATAAGGTCCCACAGTTGACAGTGCATGTCAGAGCAGAAACCAAGCCATGAGGTCGAAAGGAATTTTCCGTAGAGCACCAAGACAGGATTGTGTCGAGGTACGGATCTAAGGAAGTACACCAAAATATTTCTGCAGCATTGAAGGTCCCCAAGAACACAGTGGCCTCCATCATTCTTAAATGGAAGAAGTTTGGAACCACCAAGACTCTTCCTAGAGGTGGCCGCCTGGCTAAATTGAGCAATCGGCGGAGAAGGGCCTTGGTCAGGGAGGTGACCAAGAACCCGATGGTTACTCTGATAGAACTCCAGAGTTCCTCTGTGGAGATGGGAGAACCTTCCAGAAGGACAACCATCTCTGCAGCACTCCACCAATCAGGCCTTTATGGTAGAGTGGCCAGATGGAAGCCACTCCTCAGTAAAAGGCACATGACAGCCCACTTGGAGTTTGCCAAAAGGCACCTAAAGGACTCTCAGACCATGAGAAACAAGATTCTCTGGTCTGATGAAACCAAGATTGAACTCTTTGGCCTGAATGCAAAATGTCACGTCTGGAGGAAACCTGTCACCATCCCTACGGTGAAGCGTGGTGGTGGCAGCAACATGCTGTGGGGATGTTTTTTAGCGGCAGGGACTGGGAGACTAATAAGGATCGAGTGAAAGATGAACGGAGCAAAGTACAGAGAGATCCTTGATGAAAACCTGCTGCAGAGCGTTCAGGACCTCAGACTGGGGCGAAGGTTCACCTTCCAACAGGACAATGACCCTAAGCACACAGCCAAGACAACGCAGGAGTGGCTTCGGGACAAGTCTCTGAATGTCCTTGAGTGGCCCAGCCAGACTTGAACCCGATCTAACATCTCTAGAGAGACCTGAAAATAGCTGTGCAGCGATGCTCCCCATCCAACCTGACAGAGCTTGACAGGATCTGCAGAGAAGAATGGGAGAAACTCCCCAAATACAGGTGCAAATGAAGGTGCTTCAACAAAGTACTGAGTAAAGGGTCTGAGTATTTAATCAATTTTGTATTTAAAAAAGTATTTAATCAATTTTGGAATAAGGCTGTAAAGTAACAAAATGTGGAAAAGTCAAGGGGTCTGAATACTTTCCGAATGCACTGTATCTATCCTCCTTTCTGACACAATCACTAAGTATGCCAATCACAAACCAAACAACAACAACAACAACAACAACAACAACAATCACCAGTATTTCCTCCCCATCCCGCCTTTTTTCATTTCATTTTGCCACTTGTTTTGATTGAACACGTCTTACAATGATCCAGTTTGGAATAGAAAAACACGGGCAGTAGCTCTAATCCTAACGGCTTAATTCGAAAGGCCGCGGATCGGAAGGAGAATGGAATCAAATAACGCCGTTGGAGAAATATGCTTACAACACAAGATGGCAAAAATTGGATACAGGTTCTGTGAGAGCGCGTATTGCTTCTTTGCGGCAAATCCACAAACCAGATTATTGTTAGTGATTTAGCAACACTTCCGACCTTTCCTGCCTGGATGTCTGCAGTGGGGAATTTGGGATTTATCCGCAAAAAAATAAATGAACGTTTTTTATATTACAACAAGCCAACACGTTGCATGGATGGAGAGAGAGAGAAAAAACAGAGATACAAATTCCCTCATCCTCAGCATAAATTTACTAAGGTGACAGGTTGGCTTGCATTGAGGAAGCATTCAAATACATGACAGGGCTGAAATGGGGGGAGACCTTTTACGGTGACACAGGCTTTGAAAAGGACTGTCAGAGGGTGAATGGTCACCAGGCAAGGTCTTAGAGACAGCAAAGTGCTGACGGGTAAGCTCTGGGCTCACAGCTTCCCTCTGCACCGTAAGAGCCCTGCAATTTCTCTAAGCCTTCACACACACACGCATGTACACACACACACACACTTTTGAAGTACAGTACTTTCATTTTTCACCCCTAGTACAAACACCCCCTACACCTGTACATGAATCCTGTTATCTCTTAGCAACATACAGGAGGTAGCTAAGCACCGGCATCATTTAACCCTCTCACCTCTTACACTTAACACATCACACACAAAGCACTCTTTAACCCCTACACCTCTATCAAACTAAACTCACTACACTGGTCCCAGCTCTAGCCCCTAGCACCAGCACCTTGTAACAGCCTGTATCTCTTAGCTGTAAGCACTAGGATTGCACAATTCCGCTAACATTCCCCAAATTCCCTTTATTTATTTATTTTGATCCCGGTTGTGAGATTCCAGGAATCAAGTGGGAATCTGGAAGGATTTCTGGAATTCTGGAAAAGTTAACAGGATTCTGGAAAAGTTAACAGAATTTTTCCACCCTAATAAGCACCAAAAGATCCCCTATCCCAAGGTTTAGTTTGGTCAAGGTAACTGACAACTTCAACAGATATAAAGCCATCTGTGTTTTGTGTTTAAAACAACTGATTCTGTGTCTTTCAGTTCATTGGTTGCCTTTAACTAAACAGATTTAGAAATGTCAAATGTGAGTGAAACCCAGCATAAAATAAACATAAAAAGTGGGTCAACAAAATCAAGGTGTGCGCGCACACACACACACACACACACACACACACACACAAGCGCACACACAGACACCCCCTACCCCACCCCTCAGTCCCCTGTCCCTCTTACCCCGTACACCAGCTCCCCAACCATGCCATTCCAAATCTTGGTCTCCGGGTCCCGGGCGCCGTACTTTCCGTCGGGCACGATAGCAATCTTGTACTTGATGCCAATGTGTTTGGCAATCTCCGAGGCCAGGTCCACGCAGTAGCCTTCATACTGGTCGTTGCCCTCGTACAACTCCCAATTCTTCTTCAACATGACATATGGACCCTCCTACAAAGTGACACACACACCACAGGGACCACAGGGTCAAACTGGCAAACATGTCCGCCACTCACAGACACTGACTTACCCAGCGAGCATAACTGGTTGACACCAGGTCATAATGAGTGACATAATGATGTAAATTCTACCAGTTTCAAAATGTTGTTGAAGTGATATTATTTTAATAAATTTTTTAAACTGTTTGAATTGACGTGATTATAACGTACTGATTACGTCATTTCAACCAGTTTTGCTCGTTGGATTAACTTTGTTCTTTCACTCAAAAATAGACAGATAGCAAACAAGCGTGCACAAACACGTACAGTATGTATGTTGTAGACATGACCAAGAAATAGGCCTACACAATTCAGCAACAAATAGTGGTTACAGTATGATATTGTGTGGTCTTTCAAAATGGATGCACACGATTGCTTTTCTATGAATATGGAGTTCCTGTTCAAAGATTATGTACAAATGTTTCAACTTCTTGAACACAGATGTGGACGATAAAACATCTATTGAACGTTACACTGGCTATTATTTAAAATGGTACTCTGATACAGTATGAAAGAGACAGAGACAGAGACAGAGAGAGAGAGAGAGAGAGAGACAGAGAGAGACATAGAGAGAGAGAGAGACATAGAGAGAGAGACAGAGAGACAGAGAGAGAGAGAGAGAGAGAGAGAGAGAGAGAGAGAGAGAGAGACATACAGACAGACAGACAGACAGACAGACAGACAGACAGACAGACAGACAGACAGACAGACAGACAGAGAGAGAGACAGAAGGGGAGAGAAAGACAGAGAGAGAGGGGGGGGGGGAGAGAAAAACAGACAAAGAGTGAAAGAGAAAGAAAGAGAAAGTGAGGGGGAGAGAAAGACAGAGAAAAGAAAGAAAGCGAGACAGACAGACAGAGAGAGACAGATGAAGACAGACAGAAAGACAGAGAGAGACAGACAGAGATAGAGACAGACAGAAAGGACGTTGAACATTGAAAAAACATTCAAAATGCTTAAAGAACTCTGAAAGAATGCTGAAAGTCAGCAGCAGATTTTAAACGTTTCCAGACTCTCCACGTCCAAGTTGATCATGGCTGACAGGCCGGTCAATAATCTCCCACACCCCTTGTCTCAGTGGGTAATGAACCCAATTAGACATGCCGTTACACACACGCGCACACGCACATTAGTAGAAGGAAGAGAGTCCAGTAAGTGTGTGAGTTGGAGTTGACAATCGAATTGACAGATACACAGTCTGTGTGATAGGTGAGGAGTATGTACAATAATAAGCATCAAAATGATGGTTCTTGACTATATACTATTGACTCTCTCTCTGTCTCTCTCTCTCTCTAAACATCTCTGTGTCGCAGTCATCACCAACCACTTATGGCACAAATCAAACTTTTATTTTTCACTTGGCTGCATGACATTCAGTAAGTTGAGCACATTCCAAGCATGAGTGGAAAAATATATTTGAAAACGTTGAGGTGCTCTCAGTAAGTCCCCCAGCTGCTGCTGTTGGAGTAAAGCACCATTCAGTTGCCTTGTCCTTGATATGAGGTGGAAATTGGTATTTGATGAATGAGAACAATCTTAAAGCCATCTCTCATTCCTCATGGTGAAATAGGAGACATATGCTAGCTGTAGTAGTGGGTATTGATTGGATATGTACTGGAGGCTACCCCGATTTCTGATTCTGACATACCTTTCTTATTCTAACATACCCCCAGCAAACAGGGGCCATTCTAAGGACATTAGGTGATGTTCTCCTTAGGTCCCTTGTAGGGTTTTGGCGCAACGTTATCCCACGTACACTCTGAGAAGGTTAAAACATGATGTTTACCTCAAGACCATAAGGGGACATTCAATACTGTAGGCTTAGAAAAGTGTGCGGTTCAAAGCTCTGCCGAAATATATTCAGTCAGAGTGCCATTGTTATAAAGTATATTCATTATCGACTTAACAACAATAAAAAATAGCCTATGAATCAGGTGAGCGACAGACAAAGGCGTTTGCTGTCAGTCTCGAGATTAGCCATATTCAGAGCTACCACTGTGGATGAATGATTCCTATACCAGTCCAAATGAAGGCTTGTCATCAGAAAGAATAGCATATTAACATGATAAACAGCTGAACAGACGCTACAGTACCTGCCTGACTCTTTTCACTGGAGCGTTCCTTTGGCCATATGGTAGCTGATGAAAGCCAGAAAAACCACAAACAAAAGCATTGCATGGACAACAAACTAAGCTCCCCCTCCGCCGTGTGAATGCCAACTCCCGAGTTCCCTTCACATTTCATTGTCCCTTCCGGTTTGATGTTCACAAAACATGCCAGCTTTTCCCCACCTCTCTCTTTCTCTCTCTTCTATTTTTACTTGCAGAGTCGAGTAAAAACCTAATTTCCATTCGTCAAAGTTTAGTGTGGAGATGAAACTTCACCATAGGTGAATCAAGGGGGAGCTCATAGACGGCATCCATATTAGGAAGTCTAACAACTGACAACTTCCTAATATGGATGCCTTACTCCTGATATCTCATCCATCTACTCTCAAAACTTTATCAATCAACTTCGTATTTGACAATAACAGACTTCTGCACAGTTGAGGTTCAATGCATTGCCAAAACAGTTGTGTTACTGTTTCGGCTTATTGTAGTCGCCACAGAATGTAATACTGAAGTAAAAGCTTAATTAGTGTATATTACAGTAAACAAACATTATCAAGTGCATTATCAAGCGCAAACACACATTAGAGACGCTATCCGACACAGCCGGCATGGTTAAACACTGATATTATCATGCTCTATAAAAGCCTGGTGATGTGTATGAACTGAAATTATCCAAATGTATTATGTATTTTTCTTAGGCAGTGCTTTTGAAGGTGTATTATAAAGCTGTTATATACAAAAACTGAATGGAAACTGACGGATTCAGAGCAGCCTCAGAGCATTTTTTAAGCTAGTTCGTTAAAATCTCAACATCCATTCCTACATTTTTGCATTTCAATATCAAATACTGTATTAGCCATAATCACCTGCAATATGCCAGGCATGGAAATTCATGTAATGAGAACATTTATATCCTAGAGTTGGTTGAGACCAATTGCACGCATACACACACACACACACACACACACACACATACACACACACACACACACACAGTTAAGTGCAGTCATGTTGATGTGACGTTTGATAAGAAGAACAATCATTTTTGTGTCTTTAGGCAGGAAGAAGTGTCCATTGTGGCTCCTATCTTGCCATATTCTTGTTCATTTTCTTTAACGTTTGGTCAGACTGTGTCCATTTTGGGTCTTCTTGAAGGGGTTCACTTTGGCTCTGGATAGATCCTTCCCTTGGGTCAGTTTCCTAATACGGTGTGCGTTAGAATTCTTTAGGGGGTTCATTTTGTCTCTGGCTGTGTCCAACACTGTCCGTCAGTCTCCCAAAAAGGGATGTGTCATTTGGGCTCTGCTTGTGTCCAGTTTCTCAGTTTCTTAAAATGGGGTTCCTCACCAGGGGCTGAAAAGAGGAGGATTCTGCTGAGGTATGACTCTCCAATCCCATTTCCATCCCTCCTCTACTCACTTTGTCTTTCCTTACCCTGTTCTCTCCATCTCCTCTATCTAACCAACCACCTTTACTTTCAGAAACACAGTAAATCTTCACCCTTTTCACACTATCATGCCGACCCGAACCAAACTGTGCTGGCCCCGGATATTTTCTTTTCACATTGTCCTAATCAGCCCGGTTCCAGCAACTAGGATGAATGCATTACCAGGCCAGCTCAGCACAGCTTGGTTTGGCTCGGCTCGGTTCAGCTCAGTAGTGTGACAATCCTGATTTAATACCCAAAGTTCACATTACATGCAACCGGCTGCCATTTTGAATTGTGGTGCAGACAGTGTTACAGTATCAGTGCAAAAAGGAGGAGAAACCAAATGTCCAAGGTATCATTTGGGTCCTGAGCCCTAGTAAATAGGCCCACTAAGTAAACAACGAGGGTTGTGTAGGAGGACACAACCTTCTGACATCACAGCACACGTCCTCCCAGAGAGTTTCTGTGTGCGTGCATGTGTGTGTGTGTGTGCATGCGCATGTGTGTGTGTGTGCGTGTTTGAGTATAGAATCTCACTTTGTCTGGCCTCATTAACTGACAACTCTTAAAATGCATGTGTAGCAGTCTCTGGCAAGGATACAGAGTGCAGCTCATGCATTTTATAAAGGGGACTAGACTAGTCATGGTAGGTACTGCACTTACAGTGACATGTTTACAATGACATCTCAATCACGCCTAGCGTAACAACGTCTTAAAAGCATCTGCAGTGCCAATGTTGGTGAGTGTGTTGGATTATGTTTGTGTTTGTGTGATTGAACATCTGCCTGAGGCAAAGGAAGGTAGAGTAAAGCCCTTTCCGGGAGAACATTAAGACATGTGCGCACTAGAGGGTGTGTGTGTCTGTGTCTCGTTTGTGCTTGTGTGCTTGTGTGTCTCTTCCGTGTGTGTGCACACGTGTCTCTTTGTGTGTGTGTGCACGTATGCGCATGTGTGTGTGTAGGGTTGTAGTGCGTCTTACCATGATAGTGGTGACTACAACAGTTCTGTTCTCCATGATTTCATTGGGAAGGAGGGCTTCATTCTGGATCAGAACCAGCTTATCTGAATCCGTCCAGTAACCCATCTGGAGACAAAGAGAGGACAGTGAGTCAAATGCAGGGGTGTGTGTGTGTAGAGGGTGTGTGTGTAGAATGTGTGTACAGTGTGTGTACATTATGTAGTACAGTGTGTGTGCAGTGTGTGTACAGTGTGTGCGCATGCATGCATAATATACTTTCTTTGTTGTGAATGTGTTTGTCTTGATTACTCACCGTAGTGAATGTGTTCTTTGGTGTGTAGTTTCCAGTATTTTTGTGTTCATTATTTGGTGTTAGGATTTGTGAGAGTATCTGAGATATTTTGTGTGTATACAAGCAAAGGATAAGAGCCACACAAATTGTATGCTTGTAGAGTACATTAAAGTACACTATGTTTAGTTTTTTAGTATACAGTACGTATAATAGGTGAGTCAAGCTAAGGAAGTCAATATGTCTGCCATATAAATTGTTTTTCTTATATACTGTTTTATACATGTTATATAATAAAGCTAGACAGGGTTCTATATTATCCTGGTGGTGTCTGCCATGGAGAAAGAAGACGGCAGTGGGGGGTGGGGGGGGGTGGGGGGGGGGAGGGAGGAAGTGATGGCGGGCTGGCAGTGAACTGCTCCTCTCTCTCTCTGCTGAGGGTAAGAATGATTGACAAGCTTTGGGGGGCGGTGGAGAGGTGTGTGTGTGTGCTTGCGTGAGTGTGTGTGTGCACGCATGTGCATGCATGGATGTGTCTGTATGTTCGCGCGCGTGTGTGTGTGCCCAGCCCCCCTCCCTCCTGTCCTAACAGGAACCCTAGCGTGCGCAGCCAGCCAGCGGGCAGGCCCAAGCAGCCTGCTGATTGATGAACACACTCCTCCTCCCCTCTTCCTCTCCAACCCTCCACTTCACCCCCCTCTTCCTCTCTTCCCTCCATCCCCCTCTCTCTCTACTGCTCAACCGCTCTCTGTCCACCTACCGTAGTTGGCTGGAGTCCTGCACAAACAGTACACACACAGCACTAAACATACACACAAAGCACTAAACATACACACACAGCACTAAACATACACACACACACAAAGTCGAAGCCTGAGTATACTATTCATGCAGAAACTTTTGAGATCACTGATACACAATACATAGATTCTACAGACACACAGACAATACTAAACAGATAAAAAGATAATGACATGAAGTTCGCTCTATTCTGTCATTTCAAACGGAATGAAATTAAACATACAGTTATTAATTGTTCAAATTTGCATATTATGTTTTCAATATGATTGAGTTATTATGGTATAGTGGTATTATGGTATAGCTCTTATGGTGATGGCTAGAATAGATATTCAAACGTATAGTTGTTATGTTTTCAAATGACTGCGTTATGGTATGATAGCTGGATAGCGTGGGCAGTAAGGTGCAGCACAAGTGGGGAGGCAGTGAGCTGCAGCACAGGTGGGTGAGGCGGTCACAGTACTAGTCTTCTTACCCGCCTGGGTCCGTTGTTTTTCAGCTCAAACACGTCCATGGTGTAGTTGACCCTGCGTCCATAGTGGTCAAACTGGACATTACCTGTTAATCCCTGCAGCCGGACCTGCAAACAGTATCATCAGAGTATTAAATTCCTCTAACTTGCCCAAAATTCCCAGAAATCCTGGTTGGAAGATTTCCATAATCATGGGGTAATAAGAAGGAAATCAGGAATCATCTGACCATGATTTCTGGAAATCCTGGAAATTACCAGAATTTTGCAACCCTACATCAGAGTGCAAGTATACCTTCATTTTACTTTTAATAAGATATATTTCATATGACACAGTATGTAGTGTTCACTGTTGATGTCATTTGTGGACAACATTGACCCAACAAACAAAAATTGGTTCTGTAAAAGTTCCCAGAACATTCGTTAGGGCGCGGCAAATATTCTCATAACACAAAAACGTCCCAGATTTAAGTCCCTTGTAGCTCAGTTGGTAGAGCATGGCGCTTGCAACGTCAGGGTTGTGGGTTCGTTTCCCGGGGGGCCAGTATGAAAATGTATGCACTCACTAACTGTAAGTCGCTCTGGATAAGAGCGTCTGCTAAATGACTAAAATGTAAAAATGTGCTGATGATTATAGAATGTTTGTATAAATCATTCACCTGATGTTGCAAGAATGTTCCCAAAACACATTTAATCGGTTCTTTAAAGGTTTCCAGAATGTTTATTTAGGTTGTGGGAACATTATATGTATATGATGAGATAGGTTCCCTAAACACAAAAACTGTCCACTTGTGCAGATGATTCTACAATGTTTATTTTAGGGTGCAAAAATAATTCACCAGATGTTGCAAGAACATTCACAGAACACATTTAATCTGTTATTTAAAGGTTTCCAGAATGTTTATTTAGGTTGTGGGAACATTATATGTATATGATGAGATAGGTTCACAAAAAACTAAAACTGTCCAGTTGTGCTGACATTCAGATAATGTTTGTATCAGGGTGCACAAAACATTCATTTGATGTTGCATTTTTTTTTTCAGAACAGCCATTCTGAGTTATTTAATGGTTCCCTGAACATTTAGGTTGTGGGAACAGTGTGGATACATTACAAGAGATAGGTTTCCAAAACACAAAATATGCTCAGTTATGATGACATTCATACAATGTTCATACAATGTTTAAGGTTGCACAGAACATTCCCACAATGTTGCATAATGTTCCACAATTTCCAAATAAGTCAGTTTTTATGACATTCATAGCATATTTGTTTTAGGTTTAACATAATATTCCATTGATGTTGACACAATATACATTTTACCTTATCTCGGAGGTCCTCAGAACATTTCAATAACATTTAGAACATTTTATATTTACGTTTGACATAATATTACCACAACATTCGCAGCATGCACATTTTTATGTAGCTCCTTAAAGCAAAAGAAAGCAGTTTGGAATACATCCCCATTATAGTTCTCTCCAGATTTGATTGGAATTCACATTTGAGGATTGTATTGTAGGAACACTACAAGGTGATATAGACACACATGGCATTTTAATTTCATTTATAGGACATTTAATCATACAAACATATTTTTACACTACATATGTTGACAAACTGCACATTACTTAATTCATAAGACATTTGAACAGAATTTAATCTCAATCCAGGTCTTTTATGCTCTGCTCCACCAGGGAAGCGCTCTTACATCTTTTTTTTTCAGTTTATAGCCATGGCAGTATGGTCAGTCAGGAATTCCATGCTGCCTTTTTAGCCTTCTTAAACATAATTAATGATGAGGATAGGAACATTTTATTAACTCATAAATTGTGTTCTGTGTCCTGATTGGCCATATTAGACTGAATTAAGTAATTAATTTGCATTTTATTGCATGACATAATATTTGGTACAAAAACCTTTTTTGCAATTACAGAGATCATACGTTTCCTGTAGGTCTTGACCAGGTTTGCACACACTGCAGCAGGGATTTTGGCCCACTCCTCCATACAGACCTTCTCCAGATCCTTCAGGTTTCGGGGCTGTCGCTGGGCAATACGGACTTTTAGCTCCCTCCAAAGATTTTCTATTGGGTTCAGGTCTGAAGACTGGCTAGGCCACTCCAGGACCTTGAGATGCTTCTTACGGAGCCACTCCTTAGTTGCCCTGGCTGTGTGTTTCGGGTCGTTGTCATGCTGGAAGACCCAGCCACGACCCATCTTCAGTGCTCTTACAGAGGGAAGGAGGTTGTTGGCCAAGATCTCGCGATACATGGCCTCATCCATCCTCCCCTCAATACGGTGCAGTCGTCCTGTCCCCTTTGCAGAAAAGCATCCCCAAAGAATGATGTTTCCACCTCCATGCTTCACGGTTAGGATGGTGTTCTTGGGGTTGTACTCATCCTTCTTCTTCCTCCAAACATGGCGAGTGGAGTTTAGACCAAAAAGCTATATTTTTGTCTCATCAGACCACATGACCTTCTCCCATTCCTCCTCTGGATCATCCAGATGGTCATTGGCAAACTTCAGACGGGCCTGGACATGCGCTGGCTTGAGCAGGGGGACCTTGCATGCGCTGCAGGATTTTAATCCATGACGGCGTAGTGTGTTACTAATGGTTTTCTTTGAGACTGTGGTCGGAGCTCTCTTCAGGTCATTGACCAGGTCCTGCCGTGTAGTTCTGGGCTGATCCCTCACCTTCCTCATGATCATTGATGCCCCACGAGGTGAGATCTTGCATGGAGCCCGAGACCGAGGTTGATTGACTTTCATCTTGAACTTCTTCCATTTTCTAATAATTGCGCCAACAGTTGTTGCCTTCTCACCAAGCTGCTTGCCTATTGTCCTGTAGCCCATCCCAGCCTTGTGCAGGTCTACAATTTTATCCCTGATGTCCTTACACAGTTCGCTGGTCTTGGCCATTGTGGAGAGGTTGGAGTCTGTTTGATTGAGTGTGTGGACAGGTGTCTTTTATACAGGTAACAAGTTCAAACAGGTGCAGTTAATACAGGTAATGAGTGGAGAACAGGAGGGCTTCTTAAAGAAAAACTAACAGGTCTGTGAGAGCCGGAATTCTTACTGGTTGGTAGGTGATCAAATACTTATGTCATGCAATAAAATGCAAATTAATTACTTAAAAATCATACAATGTGATTTTCTGGATTTTTGTTTTAGATTCCGTCTCTCACAGTTGAAGTGTACCTATGATAAAAATTACAGACCTCTACATGCTTTGTAAGTAGGAAAACCTGCAAAATCGGCAGTGTATCAAATACTTGTTCTCCCCACTGTATACCTCGACTGGTATGGCATCCAACCCTGGTGTTTTCCCGGACTTAAAGTCTTTAATTGCATCCAGAAGTTCCTCCTCTATAATTTCACCTTCACATGAGTCTTACTGTAGGTATTTCATGAACCGAAATGGCTTTGATGTGCAGTGTTAGTTACCTGTTTGAGGGTGCGCTCCATGTCGATACCCTGGTTCCATGGGGCGGCAGGGTTGGCCAGACAGTCCCCAGCGTTACCCCTGCGAGAGATGTCCACCTTTTGCCTACGCAGGTTCCTGAAGGCTTCCGCCATCACCATCACGCCGTCGTAGGTCAGAGCCGACGTGTACTGGGGAACAGGAGTGACGCGTCAGGTGTGTGTTGTGGGGGGATGGGGTGTGTGTGTACAGCATAGTCTGGGTACCAGTCTTTTTAGCTAACATTCTACTCCTGTCTTTGGCAAATGACAGGAGTGGCAAGGAGTAGAATGTAATAGCTGAACAGAGACAGCAACCAGGCTACTGTATACTGGGCATTACAAATATACACTGCTCAAAAAAATAAAGGGAACACTTAAACAACACAATGTAACTCCAAGTCAATCACACTTCTGTGAAATCAAACTGTCCACTTAGGAAGCAACACTGATTGACAATAAATTTCACATGCTGTTGTGCAAATGGAATAGACAACAGGTGGAAATTATAGGCAATTAGCAAGACACCCCCAACAAAGAAGTGGTTCTGCAGGTGGTGACCACAGACCACTTCTCAGTTCCTATGCTTCCTGGCTGATGTTTTGGTCACTTTTGAATGCTGGCGGTGCTTTCACTCTAGTGGTAGCATGAGACGGAGTCTACAACCCACACAAGTGGCTCAGGTAGTGCAGCTCATCCAGGATGGCACATCAATGCGAGCTGTGGCAAGAAGGTTTGCTGTGTCTGTCAGCGTAGTGTCCAGAGCATGGAGGCACTACCAGGAGACAGGCCAGTACATCAGGAGACGTGGAGGAGGCCGTAGGAGGGCAACAACCCAGCAGCAGGACTGCTACCTCCGCCTTTGTGCAAGGAGGAGCAGGAGGAACACTGCCAGAGCCCTGCAAAATGACCTCCAGCAGGCCATAAATGTGAATGTGTCTGCTCAAACGGTCAGAAACAGACTCCATGAGGGTGGTATTAGGGCCCGACGTCCACAGGTAGGGGTTGTGCTTATAGCCCAACACCGTGCAGGACGTTTGGCATTTGCCAGAGAACACCAAGATTGGCAAATTCGCCACTGGTGCCCTGTGCTCTTCACAGATGAAAGCAGGTTCACACTGAGCACATGTGACGGACGTGACAGAGTCTGGAGACGCCGTGGAGAACGTTCTGCTGCCTGCAACATCCTCCAGCATGACCGGTTTGGCGGTGGGTCAGTCACGGTGTGGGGTGGCATTTCTTTGGGGGGCCGCACAGCCCTCCATGTGCTCGCCAGAGGTAGCCTGACTGCCATTAGGTACCGAGATGAGATCCTCAGACCCCTTGTGAGACCATATGCTGGGGCGGTTGGCCCTGGGTTCCTCCTAATGCAAGACAATGCTAGACCTCATGTGGCTGGAGTGTGTCAGCAGTTCCTGCAAGAGGAAGGCATTGATGCTATGGACTGGCCCGCCCGTTCCCCAGACCTGAATCCAATTGAGCACATCTGGGACATCCATGGGTTGATAAATTTGATTTCCATTGATAATTATTGTGTGATTTTGTTGTCAGCACATTCAACTATGTAAAGAAAAAAGTATTTAATAAGATTATTTCATTCATTCAGATCTAGGATGTGTTGTTTAAGTGTTCCCTTTATTTTTTGGAGCAGTGTACTTTCATAATGCCTGTGATGCAGCAAGGTACATTGTGTCATTGTGACTAACTCTCTCGCCATGTCACGCCAAATTCACTAGCAACCACCTAACAATAAACTTGTCATAAAGTACAAGTTTAGAGAGAAAGAGAGAGAAAGAGAGAGAGAGAGAGAGAGAGAGGGAGAGAGAGAGAGAGAGAGAGAGAGAGAGAGAGAGAGAGAGAGAGAGAGAGAGAGAGAAATAGAGAGAGAGAGAGAGATTCAGTAATGTGTTACAGATGAAGGCAGTAACAGTGTAGCCGCTCACACCAGCTTGTCATGGCTCATATGAGGATCAGGTTGGCCAGAACCAGGCAGAGCATTACCAATCAGTGTGCTGCTGACAGACAGTGGATGGTGTGTGTTTGTGAGAGAGCGAGAGAGAGAGAGAGAGAGAGAGAGAGAGAGAGAGAGAGAGAGAGAGAGAGAGAGAGAGAGAGAGCGAGAGAGAGAGAGAGAACGTGTGTGTGTGTGTGTGTGTGTGTGTGTGTGTGTGTGTGTGTGTGTTGTGTGTGTGTGTGTGTGTGTGTGTGTGTGTGTGTGTGTGTGTGTGTGTGTGTGTGTGTGTGTGTGTGTGTGTGTGTGTGTGTGTGTGTGTGTGTGTGTGTGTGTGTGTGTGTGTGTGTGTGTGTGTGTGTGTGTGCGTGCGTGTGTGTGTGTGTGTGCGTGCGTGTGTATGAGCAGCGGGCAGTATAAACCTAATACTGACATTATCTACTGTACCTACACTCTTTAACAACAACTACCTGGAACCATAATGGATTCTTCGGCTAGTCGAAGGACCCCTTCTTCCATGGAAAATGTAACAAAGTATATTATCAGATGAAAAATGTCCCTGTAGTAAAATAATCCTTTATTAGAACCCTTTTTAAGAGTATATACAAGAGTATGTGTACTCAGAGAGAGGGCCCATAGAGCTCTGGTCAAAAGTTGTGCACTATATAAGGACTATGGTGCTCTCATTGACGCTCTCTGTTTCACTCTTTGGCTTCATCCCTCTCTCGCTCTCCTTCTTCCCTTTTTATCAAATCACAATGGATGTTAGAGGCACATTTTCCAACTGTCACAGACCAACGGTCATGAGAAATAGAAATGCTTATTTAGCTAACGGGGAAAATTGCTCTCTCCAATTCAGTGGAGGCTGCTGAGGGGAGGACGGCTCATAATAATGGCTGGAACCATGTGTTTGCTGTATTTGATACCATCCCACTCATTCCGCTCCAGCCATTACCACGAGCCTGTCCTCCCCAATTAAGGTGCCACCAACCTTCAAATTGTCAGGCTGATAGTCTTCAATGTAATTTCCACAAGTCAACACGCCAGCTGAGATTTGTGATTCCCGCTGACAATCTTGCTTGAGTAGCTTTATTTAACCTCTCCCAAGGGAGAATATACAGTAGCATGTGAGTGAGTGTGCGTGTGTGTGTGTGTGTGTGTGTGTGTGTGTGTGTGTGTGTGTGTGTGAGTGTGTGTCGATATGTGCCCGCCATGGCCTAAGCATCACCCATCCACATTGCCTTGACTCGCCAAAACTAGGTGCCAGATTAGATAGTGCTCAAAAGAGCACATGACCAAAGGAGCCATAGGGGATAGAGAGATGGAGAGAGAGAGAGAGAGAGAGAGAGAGAGAGATACGAGAGAGAGAGATTACGAGGGAGGGAGGATGGGGGTATGGAGGGTTCGTATTAGTTCGTTATTTACTTTCTTTTCTATTCTTCTTTTTTCTTGAGTCTAGAAATCGATGATAACAGAGTTGAAGCATATATGAAAAGGGAGGGACTTTTTAGGGTCGAAAACTTTCTTCTGTGTGAGCCATATGGTACATTGAGAGTGTGTAGAGAAAGAAAGTTAGATAGAGAGGTGCGAGTAAAGGTAAAGTAAGATTTCTGGAGGTTGGGGTTCTGACATTCCGATGTTGCGTTTCGGAGTGGATTGCTATACGTCAGCTCTCGATGTGCTGCGGCGTACCTCGATTTCTGTGAGATCCTTTCACTCCTCCTTCCCTTCTCTCCTTCTCTCTCTAGGCCTCCATCCCCTACTCTCTATCTCGAGAGGATACTTAGATTCAATCTCTCTCTCTCTCTCTTTCTCCTCCCCTCTCTCTCTCTCTCTCCTCTCTCTCTCTCTCTCCTCTCCCTCTTCTCTCTCTCTCTCTCTCATCTCTCTCTCTTCTCTCTCTCTCTCTCTCTCTCGTCTCTCTGCTCCGTCTCTCGTCTCTCTGCTCTCTCTCTCTCTCTCTCCTCTCTCTTTCCTCTCTCTCTCTCTCCCTCGGACAGGACAGACAGACAGAAAATATCAAGAGGGGCGAAAAAGGGGTCTGAGAGTTTAGTCTAGTGTGGCCTGGTATCAATTATTTTTACCCTCTAACCAATTGTGCTATTATGTGTGTTTTTTTCCGCGTTATTTGTAATTTATTCTGTGCATAATGTTTCTGCCACCGTCTCTTATGACCAAAAAGAGCTTCTGGATATCAGGACAGCGATTACTCACCTCGTATTAGACAAATCTTTTTTCTTCAACGAGTCGGACGTAATATCTTATGTTTCACCGAGTCGTGGCTGAACGACGACATGGACAACATACAGCTGGCGGGATATACGCTAAATCGGCAGGATAGAACGGCTGACTCCGGTAAGACAAGGGGTGACGGTGTATATTTCTAAACAACAGCTGGTGCACGAAATCTAATACTAAGGAAGTCTTGAGGTTTTGCTCGCCTGAGGTAGAGTATCTCATGATAAGCTGTAGACCACACTATTTACCAAGAGAGTTTTCTTCTATATTTTTCGTAGCTGTCTATTTACCACCACAAACCGATGCTGGCACTAAGATTGCACTCAATGAGCTGTATAAGGTCATAAGCAAACAGCAAAAATCTCATCCAGAGGCAGCGCTCCTAGTGGCCGGGAACTTTAATGCAGGGAAACTTAAATCCGCTCTACCTAATTTCTACCAGCATGTTAAATGTGCAACCAAAGGAAAAAAAACTCTAGACCACCTTTACTCCACACACAGAGACGCGTACAAAGCTCTCCCTCGCCCTCCATTTGGCAAATCTGACCATAATTCTATCCTCCTGATTCCTGCTTATAAGCAAAAACTAAAGCAGGAAGCACCAGTGACTCGGTTAATAAGGAAGTGGTCAGATGACGCAGATGCTAAGCTACAGGACTGTTTTGCTAGCACAGACTGGAATATGTCTGGGATTCTTCCGATGGCATTGAGGAGTACACCACACATATTTTTCAATGACAACATGTTTCTGTCGGCCTTCTTCCATTACACACAAAATCCCCCTGCCAAGGGCTACTATTAACAGGAATGATCTGTCAAAGTCATGGGGCTGGGGGAGGTTTATAGACAGGTATTTTTTGGTTGTGCAGGGTTGTGCTTAGAGACAGTAAATGTATTGTTGTGTATGAGAGCGATTGAGAGGTGCCATTTCTCCTCTATCTCCCATACACAACAATACATACTGTGTAAGAACTGCCCCAATAAGTGCATCGATGACGTCGTCCCCACAGTGACCGTACGTACATACCCCAACCAGAACAACATCCGCACTGAGCTAAAGGGTAGAGCTGCCGCTTTCATGGAAATCTCGCTATGCCCTCCGACGAACCAACAAACAGGCTAAGAGTCAAAACAGGACTAAGATTGAATCACAATACACCTGCTCCGATGCTCGTCGGATGTGGCAGGGCTTGCAAACTATTACAGACTACAAAGGGAAGCACAGCCGCGAGCTGCCGAGTGACACGAGCCTACCAGATGAGCTAAATCACTTCTATGCTCGCTTCGAGGCAAGCAACACTGAAGCATGCATGAGAGCATCAGCTGTTCTGGATGACTGTGTGATCACGCTCTCCGAAGCCGATGTGAGTAAGACTTTTAAGCAGTTCAACATTCACAAGGCCGCAGGGCAAGACGGATTACCAGGACGTGTACTCCAAGCATGCGCTGACCAACTGGCAAGTGTCTTCACTGACATTTTCAACATGTCCCTGACTGAGCCTATAATACCAACATGTTTCAAGCAGACCACCATAGTCCCTGTGCCCAAGAACACTAAGATAACTTGCCTAAATGACTACCGACACATAGCACTCAAGTCTGTAGCCATAAAGTGCTTTGAAAGGCTGATCATGGCTCATATCAACACCATTATCCCAGAAACCCTTGACCCACTCCATAGATGATGCAATCTCTATTGCACTCCACACTGCCCTTTCCCACCTGGACAAGAGGAACACCTACTTGAGAATGCTATTCATTGACTACAGCTCAGCGTTCAACACCATAGCGCCCTCAAAGCTCATCACTAAGCTAAGGACCCTGGGACTAAACACGTCCCTCTGCAACTGGGTCCTGGACTTCCTGACGGCCCCCCCCAGGTGGTAAGGGTAGGTAACAACACATCTGGTGGTAAGGGTAGGTAACAACACGGGGGCCCCTCATGGGTGCATGCTCAGTCCCCTCCTGTACTCCCTGTTCACCCATGACTGCATGGCCAGGCACGACACCAACACCATCATTAAGTTTGCCGACGACACAACAGTGGTAGGCCTGATCACCGACAACGATGAGTCAACCTATAGGGAGGAGGTCTGACCGTGTGGTGCCAGGAAAACAACCTCTCCCTCAACGTGATCAAGACAAAGGAGATGATTGTGGACTACAGGAAAAAAAAGAGGACTGAGCATGCCCCCATTCTCATCAACAGGGCTGTAGTGGAACAGGTTGAGAGCTTCAAGTTCCTTGGTATCCACATCACCAACAAACGATCATGATCCAAACACACCAAGACAGTCGTGAAGAGGGCACAACAAAGCCTATTCCCCCTCAGGAGACTGAAAAGATTTGGCATGGGTCCTCAGATCCTCAAAATGTTATACAGCTGCACCATCGAGAGCATCCTGACTGGTTGCATCACCACCTGGTATGGTAACTGCTCGGCCTCCGACCGCAAGGCACTAAAGAGGGTAGTGCGTACGGCCCAGTACATCACTGGGGCCAAGCTTCCTGCCATCCAGAACCTATACCAGGCAGTGTCAGAGGAAGGCCCTAAAAATTGTCAAAGACTCCACCCACCCTAGTCATAGACTGTTCTCTCTGCTACCGCACGGCAAGCGGTACCGGAGCGCCAAGTCTAGGTCCAAAAGGCTTCTTAACAGCTTCTACCGCCAAGCCATAAGACTCCTGAACAGCTACTGTAAGTGTATGTAAACTTCCGACTTCAACTGTAAATAGAAAAGAGGGACAGTCCTGCCAAGGAGTTATGAATGGGGAGATGAGGGTGTTGTGGCTGTTTTGACCAGGGGTGTCAAACTAATTTTGCCCCAGGGGTCGCATTCGGTCTTCAACGAGGTCCGGAGGGCCGCACTGAAAATGTTATATATTTCCTTGCCAGCAAAATTGCTAAATATGGGGCCCTATCCATCGTTTTTGGAATCACAACAAATCCAAAGTGTGATATAATACAGGTTATAATGAAATACTGCCTTTGTTCTTGGACCTGGGAAGGATCTAGAACCTAAAATAGTTGTTTGGCTGTCACTATAGGAGAACCCTTTAAAGAACACTTTTTGGTTCCAGGTAGAAACCATTTGGTTCCAGGTAGAACCATATTGGGTTCCATGTAGAACCCTTTCCCAAACAGCTTCTACATGGAACACAAAAGAGTTCTATCTGGAACCAAAAAGGGTTCTCCTATGGGGACATTTTGGAACCGATATTTCTAATAGTTTATTCACTATATAGTGCACTACTTTTGACCAAAACCCTTCACGGGCCGTATGTTTGACATCCTTGATCTAGACTGTGACCAGAACACAGTTGGGCTCCACTAATTACAAAATAAAAAAACAATGGATGGTGTTACTGTACAGCAGAGGGGCTGTTTGGTAGGGAGAACATTGGAATGGCGATATTGATCTCACGGTTTTACCAATTTCACTTTAGATTCTGATGTTTACCACATTTCTCCAAACGTCAAATTTCAAAGTTGCTCCAAACATCACATTTCAAAATGTTTTTGACACCCTGGATTGACTGCTCCTTCTCAAGACAGTTCCTTTTCTCCAAACGTCAAATTTCGTAGTTAAGGGTTAAGGTTTTGGATAGGATTAAAACATTACGTTTAGGCATGGTTAAGTTAAGGGATAGGATAAAATAAAATAAAAAATGAGTGTCTACCACTGGGATAGAACACGAAACCTTCGGATTCGGAGTCATGGAATTACGCCCATTCACCACCCCTGTCCACAACGCAAAACCCAAGCCTACTTAATGGAAATAGCGCTCACTGTTGCCCCTAGTGGCCAGTCTTGAAAGCATTTCCCGACATCCTCAGGACATTTTTATTTGATTTGATTTGATTTAACTAGGGAAGTCTGTTAAGAACACATTTTTATTTACAATGACAGCCTACACCGGACAAATTGTGCGCCGCCGTATGGGACTCCCAATCACGGTCGGTTGTGATACAGCATGGAATCGAACCAGGGGGTCTGTAATGACGCCTCAAGCATTGAGATGCAGTGCCTTAGACCACTGCGCCACTCGGGAGCCCATGGACAGATGTTCAATTATGAAGTCAATCTTGAGTGATCTGCCTGGATATTGGAGCAAAAACCCACTCATACACTGCTTGGCGTGTCACAGCAGTATAGCTTAAATGGGTCAGTCCATCACAATCTCACAGCTAGGGCCCTCCCTCCCTCCATTCATCCCTCCATCCCCTCCCTCTCCCCTAAAGCCCACCTTCTTTCCCTCCCTCCCTCCCTCCTCCCTCCTTCTCCCATCTATTCCTAGGAAATTCTGCTCAGATCAGTGCTCAGAGCTTCTGACTCATGACGCACAGATGTGTCCGGGTGGTGGGTGACTGCTGGTTGCAGAGCCCCTTAAAGGGAGAGTTCATATTTTTTTCCAAGTTTTAGCTTATTTTCAACTTCTTTGTTGATGTTTCATCCAAACCATTTTAAGTTCCTTAGCTGGTTAATTAGCAACGTCCAGAATATTCTGGCTAGCATTTTTGGAGCATGAAGCCATGCTAGTAAACATTTATTGAACCACTGTGCTATTTATTTCCCCAGGCTTTTTTAACCTTTTCCATTAGCTTGCTACACTCTGGACGTTGTTAAATAACCAACAAACAAGATAAAAAAATTGTTTGGATGAAACAACGACACCCTCAGTATGTCGAAAATCAGCTAGAACTACAAAAACAGGGAACTGTCCCTTTACCCCACTGTAGTCCACCCCAGCCCAGCCAAGCTAAGCCTGATCACAGAGTGGGGTCCAGTGCATTCAAGTGCAGCAGGCTAAAATGCACCAGTCCTCATGGCCCCTAGCAAGAGTGGAGCTCCCTCAGGCATTGGGATAAACTATTCCAATACTAAGAAAGTCCACAGGTATGAGACAGAGAAGAGATTGAGACACAATCCCATAGCCTGAACTTCTCTACGAGACTGCACCACAGTTAGCAGGTACTGTAAGGTATTCTAAGTGCGTGTGTGTGTGTGTGTGTAAACCTCACCATGCCCTAGATGGGAGATAGCAGGCTAACCTGCACTTCTGCAGTTGGTCCTGTAGAATCCTAAAGCCACCTTCCCATGCACCAGACCAGACTGACCAGAGTCTAAAGCAATCGTGCACACAGTCAGTCAGACAGCCAGTCAGATTCAGAACTAGAGGTTATCTACTGAAGAATTGTATTGACACAGGCTCAGCTCTGTTAAATTCTCCATGGGTGCTATCCCCCAAGCCTTAGAGGAGAGATACAGGAGAGAACCTTAGGGGAGAGGAGAGAGGACCTTACCCCAGGCATGGTGTACCATCGGGGGGCTGTTGCTCTTCAGCGAACGGGGGAAAAGGCATGACATTAGAGGAGATGAGAGGACTTAACCCCAGGCAGGGTGTTACCTTCGGGGGGCTGTCGGAGCCCGGGTACTCCCTCTGGTCCAGCTTGTTCCAGCGCTGCATCAGCTTGATGACCATGGGGTTGCTGAAGTCCACCAGCTGGAAGCCCGACACGTTGGCCCCGCCGTGCATGAAGCGCTCGAGGTTGATGTCCTTAAAACCCTGGGAGAGAGAGGGGGGAGGGAGTGAGACGGGGAGTTAGGGATGGATGTAGGTATGCAGAGGGCAGAGATTGAAAGAGAGAGAGGGGGGAGGGAGGGGAGACGGGGAGTTAGGGATGGATGTAGGTGTGCAGAGGGCAGAGATCGAGAGAGAGAGGGGGAGGGAGGGGAGATGGGGAGTTAGGGATGGATGTAGGTATGCAGAGGGCAGAGATTGAGAGAGAGAGAGGGGGGAGGGGAGACGGGGAGTTAGGGATGGATGTAGGTATGCAGAGATTGAGAGAGAGAGAGAGGGGGGAGGGAGGGAGAGGAGACGGGGAGTTAGGGATGGATGTAGGTATGCAGAGGGCAGAAATCGAGAGAGAGAAAGAGAGAGGGGGGAGGGAGGGAGACGGGGAGTTAGGGATGGATGTAGGTATGCAGAGGGCAGAGGGCAGAGATCGAGAGAGAGAGAGAGAGAGAGAGGGGGGGAGGGAGGGGAGATGGGGAGTTAGGGATGGATGTAGGTATGCAGAGGGCAGAGATCGAGAGAGAGAGAGAGAGAGAGAGAGGGGGGGGGGAGGGAGGGGCGACGGGGAGTTAGGGATGGATGTAGGTATGCAGAGGGCAGAGATCGAGAGGGGGGGGGAGACGGGGAGTTAGGGATGGATGTAGGTATGCAGAGATCGAGAGAGAGAGAGAGAGGGGGGAGGGAGGGGAGACGGGGAGTTAGGGATGGATGTAGGTGTGCAGAGGGCAGAGATCGAGAGAGAGAGAGGGGGGAGGGAGGGTAGACGGGGAGTTAGGGATGGATGTAGGTATGCAGAGGGCAGAGATCGAGAGAGAGAAAGAGAGAGAGGGAGGGGAGACGGAGAGTTAGGGATGGATGTAGGTATGGAGAGGGCAGAGATCGAGAGAGAGAGAGAGAGAGAGAGAGGGGAGGGAGGGGAGACGGGGAGTTAGGGATGGATGTAGGTATGCAGAGGGCAGAGATCGAGAGAGAGAGAGAGAGAGAGAGGGGAGGGAGGAGAGACGGGAGGTTAGGGATGGTTGTAGGTATGCACAGGGCAGAGATCGAGAGAGAGAGAGGGGGAGGGAGGGGAGACGGGGAGTTAGGGATGGATGTAGGTATGCAGAGGGCAGAGATCGAGAGAGAGAGAGAGAGAGAGGGGGGAGGGAGGGGAGACGGGGAGTTAGGGATGGATGTAGGTATGCAGAGGGCAGAGATCGAGAGAGAGAGAGAGAGAGAGAGAGAGAGAGGGAGGGGAGACGGGGAGTTAGGGATGGATGTAGGTATGCAGAGGGCAGAGATAGAGAGATATCGAGAGAGAGAGAGAGGGAGAGAAAGACATTTATGGAGAGAAGTAAAGAGAAAGAGGGAGAGAAATAAACAGAGGAGAGAGAGAGAGGAAGAGAAAGAGGGAGTGGGAGAGAGGCAGAACACTGTATGTTATACCGCAACAAAAAAGGATACCAGACAGTTTTTTCCCCTTTTCTAAGAACTGGGATCACCGGCTGAGCCTGATTTCTGTCGACGCCCTGCTTCTGCAGCAGAGGGCTAGTAAGAAGGATTGTGCCAACAGTAATCTCTCCCAGCCCAGTGCTCCGATGCCTCCAGTACTGTCACACACACACATACACACACAGTCACTCACGCATGCACACACACGCACGTAGATGCACACACACATACTCAACTACTCACACACAGATACACACACACACACACACACACTGAGCTGTCCTGCTCTGGACATCATTAATACACTGTCACTGTGGAAATGGGCTGAATACTAAATACATAGACGTGAAGAGAGGGGGGGAGAGAGAGAGAGTGAGAGAGAGAGAGAGAGAGAGAGAGAAAGAGAGAGAGAGAGAGAGAGAGAGAGAGAGAGAAGAGAGAGAGAGAGAGAGAGAGAGAGAGAGAGAGAGAGAGAAGAGAGAAGAGAGAGAGAGAGAGAGAGAGAGAGAGAGAGAGAGAGAGAGAGAGAGAGAGAGAGAGAGAGAGAGAGAGAGAGAGAGAGAGAGAGAAGAAGGGTGTAGTCAAGACATGCAATGATTTTTTCCCTCACCAAGTTAGCCATGATGTAATGGTAGCCTTTGACATGTTTTCCGACACTGACAATCTGCGAGAGAAGGGAGGGAGAAACGTTAGAGAAATATTAAGTCAACTCGACTGGAAAGGGACAAACGTTCGACAAACGTTGCGTGAACCCGACTGGATTAGCATTAGCAAGCTTAATTGGCTGTCAGTTGAATGACACCCCAGTGTGTGCGGCTTGGCATCGCGTCAACATTGTCTTTCATGGGGAGTCAAATCAGATGTGCAGACTGTCTAAACCAATGAGTAGGCATCCGGATGCGTGCCACACCAGGAGACAGACAGACAGACACTCTCGGAGGCCAGCTAGTAGGGAATATGAAAATTCTCCTGGCATGGCACAGAGAATGTTCATTGATTCATTGAACACAAGCAGATCTCAAGTAGCTAAACAGACATTGAACTCAAGACAGCTGTTAAACCCTAACCCTAAACTTAACCCCTACTTTTACCCTAACCATAACCCTAACCTAACCCTAACCTTAACCACTTTAAATTTCAACTTCAATGGGGTAATGTCAGAGTTGGGATGTCCCAAGGGTCCCGGATAGCAGCGACCCTGTTGCTTATGTCACCATGTAGTATGACTTGGCTTATAGATGATTTGTGAGGTACAGTATCTATGTAGTGATGATGAAAACTTTATAAATGCTCTGTAAAGCATTCATTGTTGTTTGTTTAAAGATGTAGCCTAATGTGTTTGAATGCACTGCTAACAAATACAATTTGTTTCCACTAGCAGTGCTCCATTCTCCAAAAATGCTAGCCAGATTTTTCTGGACATTGCTAAATAACCAGGGAACGAAACCAAAAAACGGTTTGGAAACAATAACACTGGAGGGTAGTTGAAAAGAAGCTATGCATCTCTGGTGATACTAGGGATACACGAGATACTGCTGAATAACCAAACAATACATTAGATGTGACCTGCTGTTCAAGATGTTGTGTGTACTGAGGCCTACTGAGATACGATGGGTACTGTTGGAGGTGTGTCTGGGGCTCACACACAAGCACACCAAACACACATGCTGACTCGCACACACTCTCATACACACAGAGTCGTTAGCACATTGACAGATGCCGGAGCTGAGATTTATTAAATGATTGAAAAGTGAGATATTGGTTGCCTGGGGGACGGCGGCTGAGTACACTATGAAACAGAGAAGAGGGTTATTCGGTTCATAACTCTGACTACTGAGTGGCGCAAGAAGATATCCAAACATCCTAGAATTTGACCTAATAGATTGAATATACCTAAACCTGAATGATTATGTTGAGACTGTATAGTAAAATATGGCACAATTGCGTTTGGTACAATCTGGGCCATCTCAGAATGTACCACTAAATATTAATTAATCAAGTTTGCAGCTAATTAATTCAACGTAATTCAAATAAGCACTCTAGAACTGTAAAATCCACTGCAGCTCTCAAATTAAAATGAAAGAATAATGTATCCTCTAGTCATTTGCTTTACCAAATGGAGCTGTCACCTGTTTTAGACTGTATAGATTCATTGATTGATTGATTGACCTACTCCAGCATGTTGGTGAGCCTCTCAAACTTCTTAACTGCCTAACTCCCTAACTCCCTAACTGCCTAACTCCCTAACTCCCTAACTGCCTAACTCCCTAACTGCCTAACTCCCTAACTCCCTAACTCCCTAACTGCCTAACTCCCTAACTCCTTAACTGCCTAACTTCTTAACTGCCTAACTCCCTAACTCCCTAACTGCCTAACTCCCTAACGCCCTAACTGCCTAACTCCCTAACTGCCTAACTCCCTAACTCCTTAACTGCCTAACTTCTTAACTGCCTAACTCCCTAACTCCCTAACTGCCTAACTCCCTAACTCCCTAACTGCCTAACTGCCTAACTCCTTAACTGCCTAACTTCTTAACTGCCTAACTCCCTAACTCCCTAACTGCCTAACTCCCTAACTCCCTAACTGCCTAACTCCCTAACTCCTTAACTGCCTAACTTCTTAACTGCCTAACTGCCTAACTCCCTAACTGCCTAACTGCCTAACTTCTTAACTGCCTAACTCCCTAACTCCCTAACTGCCTAACTCCCTAACTCCCCAACTGCCTAACTCCCTAACTCCTTAACTGCCTAACTTCTTAACTGCCTAACTCCCTAACTCCCTAACTGCCTAACTCCCTAACTCCCTAACTGCCTAACTCCCTAACTCCTTAACTGCCTAACTTCTTAACTGCCTAACTCCCTAACTCCCTAACTGCCTAACTCCCTAACTGCCTAACTCCCTAACTGCCTAACGTCTTAACTGCCTAACTCCCTAACTACCTAACTCCTTAACTCCCTAACTCCTTAACTGCCTAACTCCCTAACTGCCTAACTCCCTAACTGCCTAACTCCCTAACACCCTAACTGCCTAACTCCCTAACTCCCTAACTGCCTAACTCCCTAACTCCCTAACTGCCTAACTCCCTAACTCCTTAACCTGCCTAACTTCTTAACTGCCTAACTGCCTAACTCCCTAACTGCCTAACTGCCTAACTTCTTAACTGCCTAACTCCCTAACTCCCTAACTCCCTAACTGCCTAACTCCCTAACTCCCCAACTGCCTAACTCCCTAACTCCTTAACTGCCTAACTTCTTAACTGCCTAACTCCCTAACTCCCTAACTGCCTAACTCCCTAACTCCCTAACTGCCTAACTCCCTAACTCCTTAACTGCCTAACTTCTTAACTGCCTAACTCCCTAACTCCCTAACTGCCTAACTCCCTAACTGCCTAACGTCTTAACTGCCTAACTCCCTAACTACCTAACTCCTTAACTCCCTAACTCCTTAACTGCCTAACTCCCTAACTGCCTAACTCCCTAACTGCCTAACTCCTTAACTGCCTACTTCCCTAACTCCCTAACTCCCTAACTGCCTAACTCCCTAACTGCCTAACTCCCTAACTGCCTAACTCCCTAACTGCCTAACTCCCTAACTCCTTAACTGCCTAACTTCTTAACTGCCTAACTCCCTAACTCCCTAACTGCCTAACTCCCTAACTCCCTAACTGCCTAACTGCCTAACTCCTTAACTGCCTAACTTCTTAACTGCCTAACTCCCTAACTCCCTAACTGCCTAACTCCCTAACTCCCTAACTGCCTAACTCCCTAACTCCTTAACTGCCTAACTTCTTAACTGCCTAACTGCCTAACTCCCTAACTGCCTAACTGCCTAACTTCTTAACTGCCTAACTCCCTAACTCCCTAACTGCCTAACTCCCTAACTCCCCAACTGCCTAACTCCCTAACTCCTTAACTGCCTAACTTCTTAACTGCCTAACTCCCTAACTCCCTAACTGCCTAACTCCCTAACTCCCTAACTGCCTAACTCCCTAACTCCTTAACTGCCTAACTTCTTAACTGCCTAACTCCCTAACTCCCTAACTGCCTAACTCCCTAACTGCCTAACTCCCTAACTGCCTAACGTCTTAACTGCCTAACTCCCTAACTACCTAACTCCTTAACTCCCTAACTCCTTAACTGCCTAACTCCCTAACTGCCTAACTCCCTAACTGCCTAACTCCCTAACACCCTAACTGCCTAACTCCCTAACTCCCTAACTGCCTAACTCCCTAACTCCCTAACTGCCTAACTCCCTAACTCCTTAACTGCCTAACTTCTTAACTGCCTAACTGCCTAACTCCCTAACTGCCTAACTGCCTAACTTCTTAACTGCCTAACTCCCTAACTCCCTAACTCCCTAACTGCCTAACTCCCTAACTCCCCAACTGCCTAACTCCCTAACTCCTTAACTGCCTAACTTCTTAACTGCCTAACTCCCTAACTCCCTAACTGCCTAACTCCCTAACTCCCTAACTGCCTAACTCCCTAACTCCTTAACTGCCTAACTTCTTAACTGCCTAACTCCCTAACTCCCTAACTGCCTAACTCCCTAACTGCCTAACGTCTTAACTGCCTAACTCCCTAACTACCTAACTCCTTAACTCCCTAACTCCTTAACTGCCTAACTCCCTAACTGCCTAACTCCCTAACTGCCTAACTCCTTAACTGCCTACTTCCCTAACTCCCTAACTCCCTAACTGCCTAACTCCCTAACTGCCTAACTCCCTAACTGCCTAACTCCCTAACTGCCTAACTCCCTAACTCCTTAACTGCCTAACTTCTTAACTGCCTAACTCCCTAACTCCCTAACTCCCTAACTCCTTAACTGCCTAACTCCCTAACTGCCTACCTCCCTAACTGCCTAACTCCCTAACTCCCTAACTGCCTAACTCCCTAACTCCCTAACTGCCTAACTGCCTAACTCCCTAACTGCCTAACTGCCTAACTCCCTAAATGCCTGCCCGCCTAACTGCCTGCCTGCCTGCCATGACTGATTGGCTGACTGATCTCACCTGCTCCAGCATGTTGGTGAGTCTCTCCGCCTCCAGGTCGATGACAAACTTCTTCTCCTGCCGTCGGTCCAGGTCCTCCAGGAGCCGGCGGTAGGCAGCATCGTCGAAGTTCTCCACGCATATGGCGCTCACCTGCCAGCTGTTCTGACCCGCCTTCTCCATGATGGCCTGCAGTATGGCGTACCCTGAGGGGCAAGACCAACCACCAATCAGATCACAGCATTTCATTCCAATAATTTATTTAGCTTCATAGTGAAAATTAATTAATATTTTATTGCAGTGGGCTAAATCAGGGTCACACAGAGTGTTTCTTGATAGTCTTAAACAAATCTACTTTGAAACTAAAGTATACACCTCACACACATGGTTATGGGCTTACAAAAAAGAAGACAGCTGTACTATGTCAGATATAGAGTTGAAATGTATTCAATTTTGAGTTTGCATCCCAATATTACACTTTATATACATCACAGAAGACTGAAATATAACAAAACCGTTTGATATAAAAACACAGGATTTTCTATGTTTTTTTGGAAATACTGTTTATTAACTATGAAATTATGAGAAATATTAATAACATTACACCCATGAGGCAACATGCAACAATTTCAAAGATTTTACTGAGTTACAGTTCATATAAGGAAATCAGTCAATTGAAATAAATTAATTAGGCCCTAATCTACAGATTTCACATGACTGGGAATACAGATACGTAAAGGTAGGGGCGTGGATCAGAAAGCCAGTCAGTATCTGGTGTGACCACCATTTGCCTCATGCAGCGCGACACATCTCCTTCGCATAGAGTTGATCAGGCTGTTGATTGTGGCCTGTGGAATGTTCTCCCACTCCACTTCAATGGCTGTGCAAAGTTGCTGGATATTGTCGGGAACTGGAACACGCTGTCGTACACGTCGATCCAGAGTATCCTAAACACAATAGGTGACATGTCTGGTGAGTATGCAGGCCATGGAAGAACTGGGACATTTTCAGCTTTCAGGAATTGTGAACAGATCCTTGCTACATGGGGCTGTGCATTATCATGTTGAAACATGAGGTGATGGCGGCGGATGAATGGCACGACAATGGGCCTCAGGATCTCATCATGGTATCTCTGTGCATTCAAATTGCCATCGATAAAATGCAATTGTGTTCATTGTCCATAGCTTATGCCTACCCATACCATAACCCCACCGCCACCATGGGGCACTCTGTTCACAACGTTGACATCAGCAAAACGCTCGCCCACACAACGCCATACACGCTGTCTGCCATCTGCCCGGTACAGTTGAAACTGGGATTTATCCGTGAAGAGCACACTTCTCCGGGCATGCCAGTGGCCATCGAAGGTGAGCATTTGCCCACTGAAGTCGGTTATGACGCCGAACTGCAGTCAGATCAAGACCCTGGTGAGGACGACGAGCACGCAGATGAGCTTCCCTGAGTCAGTTTCTGACAGTTTGTGCAGAAATTCTTTGGTTGTGCAAACCCACAGTATCATCAGCTGTCCGGGTGGCTAGTCTCAGACGATCCTGCAGGTGAAGAAGCCGGATGTGGAGGTCCTGGGCTGGAGTGGTTACACGTGGTCTGCGGTTGTGAGGCCAGTTGGACGTCCTGCCAAATGTTCTAAAATGACGTTGGAGGCGGCTTATGGTAGAGAAATTAACATTAAATTCTCTGGTAACAGCTCTGGTGGACATTCCTGAAGTCAACATGCCAATTGCACGCCCCCTCAAAACTTGAGACATCTGTGGCATTGTGTTGTGTGACAAAACTGCACATTTTAGAGTGGTCTTTTATAATTATGTTTAATCAGCTTCTTGATAGGTGGATAAATGCAAAGGAGAAATGGTCACTAACAGGGATGTGAACAAATTTGTGCACAAAATTTGAGAGAAACAAGCTTTTTGTGCGTATAGAAAATGCCTGCGTTCTTTTATTTCAGCTCATGAAACATGGGACCAACCCTTTACATGTTGCGTTTACATTTCATCTTAATGTTCTGGTGCTGTTTGGGAAGTTTAGAGTATTGATTGGGGACTTATTTGTGGAGGAATGTAACTGTTTTTCTAGGTGATTTGTGATGTTTTACTTGTGCTTCCCATGAGTGAGTTTTTGTATTTATATGTATATTTTGTGTATGATAGGTATATTTGTGTTGTATTGTGCAGGGCACATTTGAAAAAGAAACCTAGGTCTCAATTATGTCCTCCCTGGTAAAATAAAGGTTACAAAAAACAAACAAACAAGCATGACATTGTAATTCCAGCACGGAGTGGGTCTCATATTAGGATTCTGCACTTATAATCTGCTCTCCTTTCAGGGTTAGGGCCAATTCCATTTTCAATTCAGTCAGACTAAACGCCAACCCTGCTTCCTTTTGGCTGGGAAATGATTATGACTGATATTACTGAGTATTACTGATATCATAAAACTGAAGCTACAATCTAAAAACCCTGGATCTACATAAACAGCAAGCATGCGCTCCCACAAGAAATCCTGCATCCAAGAAGAGCTTTTTATCTGTGTTGAATTCAGAGTTCTAACCCTTTGCTTCTATGCCGATTCTTCATACTAGTTCCACAACAAAACCCCTATTTTTGAGTAGATTTCGTAGTCTCTTTGATTAAAGACTGGTAGTGTGGGAGGAACCACAGGGAGTCTAGAGGGGGGACTCTGGGCTGCTGGGGCCAGACGAGGCCTTGTGTAAATAGAGGGATGATAGAGGGATGAGATGAAGTCAGGGGAGCCCCGCCCGGCATCTCCTCTCTCCTCTCCAACAGGAACAGATGTCCCACTTAAATGGCCCCTCCTGGTGGCCATCACAATCTGGCAACCTTTCTCCCTCTGCTCCCAATTAGTGGATTAACCTGTGCTCGAGTATCCACGTCTGGCAACCCAACCCCCCTTTCTCACTCTCTATCTCTCTGTGCACCCTATTAGAGTGATGTCTGTCTGTCTGTCTGTCTGTCTGTCTGTCTGTCTGTCTGTCTGTCTGTCTGTCTGTCTGTCTGTCTGTCTGTCTGTCTGTCTGTCTGTCTGTCTGTCTGTCTGTCTGTCTGTCTGTCTGTCTGTCTGTCTGTCTGTCTGTCTGTCTGTCTGTCTGTCTGTCTGTCTGTCTGTCTTTGCCAGGAGGACAAAGGGGATGGTCGGTCACACACTGCCACTGCTTCAGCTTCAACACACACCCCTGTCAGGGCTGGGACTACCTGGATTTGTCCAATAAGAAACGCTCATTTTTGTTTTCCATTGCAAAACTTTTTTCTAAAATGTACAGACCACATTGATATAGATAACACCACAAGATGAAATTATACATTTTATGCTGAAATCCTGGGTGATTTTAAAGAGTTTCCAAGAGTGACTTTTTAAATTCCACCCCTGGGTTGTGTTCATTAGTAGCCTGACCACCCATCCACATCGTTCCGCCAAAAGGCTACGCCCACTAGCGTTTCTTTTCCACAATGAATATATGGAGCGATCAATAGAGCAGCGGAATTAAATTCAGGAAGAGTCATCAGGCAAGTTCATTAGGGCACATAACAAAAAACGTTTTAAAACCTCTTGCAATGGAAAACGAAAATGACGGTCCATGGTAGGTAGTCCCTCCTGGTTTCAGTCCATTTTCTCCCATTTGGTGCATAATAAATACGAGCCTGGTGAGAACAAGCACAAGATGACAATTCTGCAAAGATACTCGTTTTGTGATTTGTATATGTCCTATAGTCTATAAGAAACCTGGCTATGGTCTATAGACAGATCTAATGACTAGTTGGCTAGTGGCTCGTCTATCCATATGGCTGTGATTACAGTGTTTCAGTCAGAGAGCCAGGTGCAGCTTCTCTCCTCATGTCAGTGATATCACTGTAATTACACACTGGAGATGAAAGCAAAGCCCATTATGTGACCTGTGAACAAATGACCTAAGTGCAGCCATTAAGGCTCATACAGTATAGACCAGTACCAACCAGAGACGAGTGCTACGGCCGGTTTGCCTTTCTTTCCGCCTATCCGTCATTGATTACCAGCTGATAAATCTGTAGCCTGGGGCTGTGTGTGGAGCAGCAGCCAGCCACAATCAGCATCAGTGTCAGAGCACAAGCTGCCTGCCTATCTGCACCACAGAACAGCACAGAGTACAGTCTCTCTGTGAGACAGAGAACCCATATTTATTACCCATGTCTATTTATTTTCCATTTTGTACTTTAACTATTGCACATAATATGACATTTAAAATGTATTTTATTCTTTTGGAACTTTTGTGAGTGTAATGTTTACTGTTAATTTTTTTAATGTTTATTTCACTTTTGTTTATTATCTATTTCACTTGCTTTGGCAATGTAAACATATGTTTCCCATGCCAATAAAGCCCCTTAAATTAAAGTTGAAATTGAAATTGAAATTGAGAGAGAGAACAAGAGAGATAGAGAGTGAGAAAGAGAGAGAAAAAGAGAGAGAGAGAGAGAGAGAGAGAGAGAGAAAGAGAGAGAAAAAGAGAGAGAGCGAGCAAGAGAGAGAGTGTCTATGTGTGTGTGTGTGTGTGTGAGAGAGAGAGAGAGAGAGAGAGAGAGAGAGAGAGAGAGAGAGAGCGAAGACAGAGCAGACAGAGAGACGATCAGCGACATCGCCTACTCCCGCTCTTCGAAGATACAGGATGCACCGAACGAGAGAGAGGCGTAGGTGTTGTGTGTGTGTTTGTGGGTGAGCGATCGCGTCAAAGACTTTTCCCACGCGAGGCCCCTCATCGCTCCCGCTATCGGCGGTCGCGCGCGCTCTCTGCGCGCGGCCGGCGCGCTCTGCCCCGCGCTGTAGCGCGACCGCTAGATGTTTGTGTTTGTGTGTGTGTTGTGTTCGCGCCGCCCCGGAGGGCTCGCGCCCGAGCGCCGCGCGCGAAAACCGACGCGATCCCGCGCGCGCCCTGTGTCTTGTTGTGTGTGTTGCGCGAGACACAGCGAGGAGGGTGGCCAGCGGCGACCCCCGAGCGCGCACCAGAGAGACACAGAGAGACAGAGAACAGAGAGAAAAGATAGAGAACAAAGAGGAGAGGAGAAGGAGGGAGAGGGAGAGAGTCAGAGAGAAGATAGAGTGTCTGTGTGTGTGTGTGAGAGAGAGAAAGAGAGACAGAGAGAACAAGAGACAGAGAGAGAGAGAGACTGCATGCAGAATTCTGCAAAAAATGCAAAACGAA